ATTCACAGACTAGTATACAGAAGGTTATGGAGCCCAGACAGACGGCACCCTGAGGAGCCTCAGCTTCGTTTTATGGTAATCAATTTGGCTACAAGAATGAAATGAATGGTTTCTAAAGAAAATGTACCGGACATCCAGTGAAAAGAGCACAAGAAAACCCAGATACTTTAACGATGAAGAAAAGGTCTAGGATCCTTTTGTAAGGAGCCTTCAGAGGGCTGGGGAGACGGCTCAGTGGGTAAAGGACTGGCTGCCCACTTCTCAGGACCCACGTAAAACTGGGAGCAATGCTGCATGTTTGTAATCCTTAAAAGGCCATGGTCAGAGATGAATGAATATTTCCTAGTTATAAAAATTTATATCATATAGGTCAATAACCAAAATACATGTATATATCAGTATAAATACATGTATGTACACACACACACTATATATATGAGACAGGTCCTTACTATGTAGATTAGGCTGGCCTTGAACTCACAGATCTGCTGGCCTCTGTCTCCTGAGTTCTGGAATAAAGGTTTGTTTCATCATTCCTGGTCCAATACCCTGCTTGCTGAGAAAACAGTATCAGTATCAGTATCAGTGATGTTCACTTTAGTCAGTAAATGATACACTGTTGTTAGTGCACTTGCAATTAGATTCTCCTCTGACAGGGTTTTAGTAGCTTGACACTCAGCAGCTTAAGATGGAAGAGGCTGGAACTTCCACTTGGGATTATATGTTTTTATGATTCTTTTGTCCACTTTATATAGGAGGCTGTCTTATAGTTACTTTAATAACAGTTTCTTTAAAGATGATTCATTTTTATTTTTTATTTTAAAATTATCTTTGTGTGCGTGTGTGTATATGTGCCTGTGTGAGTACATATGTTTTGTTTTGTGTGTGTGTGTGTGTGTGTGTGTAAGTGTATGCATGTGTGAGTGCAGATAGCCATGGAGGCCAGAAGAGGGCATTGGATCTTCTGGAGTTACAGGTAGCTTGGAGATACCTGCCTTAGGACCTGGGAACTGAAGTTGGGTCTTCTACAAGAGCAGCCAGTGTTCTTTTAGCTGGGTTGTCTCTGCAGAGCCTTTCCTAAACTTTCCGAGCATTTCTGAGTTAGGTTTTGTTCCAAGCCATTTGTGCTATTGTCAAGAACACACTCCAGCCCTTCATTTATTCTTTCATTAGTTTGACATTGTTGTTCTTGCAAATTATCAGCTGTTGTTATATACCTCACAAATCTTTTGATAAGTTTAGTGTTTGGCTTTAATCTTGTTTATGATGTCTTTTGACATGAAAGAATTTAAGTACATCTAATGTAATGAAATCTTCAATCTTCTGTATTAACTGGTTTCCTCTTGGTGTTTATACAGAGAAGAGCTGTGTCCAAGCTGTGAGCCTCTTCCCCGCTGTTTTATTCTAGCGGTTTTATGTTTTAGTTATGATTTTATGTTGACTGCTCTGATACACCTGCAGTGTGTACAGCTGGCAGGATCAAGGCCAGGGACAGGTGCTGGCCAATTTTCCCACGGTGCATAGCAACTGAGGGACCTAGTTCCTGGCCATTAACTTCAGGGGCCATATTGAGGCACTGTTTCCTTTTGTGACCACAGGTGAGCTTTTCTACATCTTTGTTTTACTCCTCTGGTCCTGGCTGTGCCAGCATACTGGTTCTCATGTATGCCAGGACAAAGAGATCCACCTTTAGGTTTCTAACTCCATTCTTTTTCTTGTTATTCTCTGAAATGTCTTCTGAATCATTTCTAAAATTGCTTTTCAAGTTTCAAAATACACTTCCAAAAACAAAAACAAACTTCCATAGACAGCTGAGAGACAAAACAGTGTTTGTAGGTTTAGATTTTTCAAATTCCACTTTAATAAGAGTTATCAACCACTTTGACCCCTTACCCACTTCTAGCCCATGGTCCAAAGGTAGGGGAGAAAAGATGGAAAATAGTGCAAGGGGATGTGGACCTATTTAGAAGTAGTTCTTTGGGGGCAATTCCAATCTCGGTTGTCAGGATATCAGCAGACCAGTTCAGTAGAGTCAGGATACCAAACAGGAATCAGCAGTGGTGGGTGGCACGATCCACCAGAAACAGTCAGGCCTCCGCCCAATCGGGACCAGTCACTGGGCGCAACCAGAACCAGCTGGGATGCCAGGAGAAGTTCTCTGCTGTGCGTCTCTCAACGAAGCAAGACTAGAGACCAATGAAGCATTGAAAAGCTAGCTATGCAAGCGCCCCATCACTGTATGTTGAGATCTATTTATACTCGCTCCAAACAGCACATGTTCTCCCACCGATCTTAACTCAGCAAAACACCATGTGATTCTGACTCAGCAAAACACCACGTGAGTCTGCGTCACATGACACGACCAGAAACTTCCACTTCAAGTGTTTCTTTTTCCTTTTTGTTCTTTGGTTGTTTGAGACAGGTGACAGGGTTCACTCTGTAGCTCAGACTGGCATCAAATTTCTGATGATCCTCCTGCCTCATTCTTCTGAGTGTGAGACTATAGGCACAAGCCACCACAACTGGCTCGTATACTTAAGTCTTATGTTTTTGGTATTGTAGTTTCCCATGTATTCCTCTAAACCAGCAGTTCTCAACCTATGGTCGAGACCCCCACAGGGTTTGCATATCAGATATCATATTCTGCATATTACAATTTATCATAGTAGAAAATTTACAGCTATGAAGAAGCAACAAAATAATTTTGTGGTTAGGGGTTTCACCACCACATGAGGAACTGTGTTAAAGGGTTGCAGCATTAGGAAGTTGAGAACCACTGCTCTATGCCCTGTTTTTAAACCATCTTTTGTTTTTAACTACCTACTAAAAGCTACTAGCATGCTATCATTCCGTTGGCAACCTTAGTAAATTAAATTTTTTTGTTTTTATGTTTTTGTAGTGCTGATCATCAAATCCAGGACCCACCCACAAGCTAAGCAAATGCTGTGTTGCTGAGCCATCCAAAGCTTTGATTTATTTCTGAGTTCATGTCAGATTTATAGCCATCTCTAAAAGTAATTCTCTGTTCTCTTCTTTTTAAGATAGGTATACATTTTATTTCTCCCTATTTTCTAATAATAACAGACAGTTCCCAAAGAATGTTGAATAATGGTAGATTATAAGTGACCAACAGGAGCTGTACGCCAACCATGTACCATGCTATACTCTACACACACGAATTTACTTGATTCTCAAAACAACCTGATCTACTTAGATTATTGTAACTGCTGCTTTTACTGTCAATTTGCCATAAATTAGAATCACCTGAAAAGGAAACTGTAGCTGAGGAATTGTCCCGATTACCCTGATTGACATGGGAAGAAGACCTACCAAAAAATGTGGATGGCAGACACATTCTAGTAGAAGCTCAGGAGAAAAGGCCTTGGCAGAAGAGAGCTTGTTCCTTTTGCTCACTGGGTCTTTCCTCTCGCCACTGAGTCGACTTATCCTGTTGTAACATTTCCAGTGTCAACTAAAGACAACAGCTTCCTGTGAACTCTCTGGGTTTGAGGTGCCGTACTGGGACAGCTGAGACACCCAGCCTAAAGGACCGAGCAACAACTAGGTTCTCAGTCTCTCAGGCAAGAGA